TGCGCGTGCGCGTGCGCGTGTGTGTGTGTGTGTGTGTGTGTGTGTGTGTCACTGATATCTCAAGAACCATACATCAGTTTTTGATGAAACTTGGTGCATAGATACTCTGGGCCAATGCGCAGATTTGATTAGGTTTTAGTAAAAATATGCATGGGCATATTAATTACCTAATTTGCATAATAATTAGCTGATTTTTAGCTGTATCGTGACTGTTCCACTGATATCTAAAGAACCACTCATTGGACTTTGATGAAACTTGGCACACAGATGCTCCAAACTAATGCACAGATTTGATTAGTTTTGGGTAAAAATCTGTCCAATATTAATTACCTAATTTGCATAATGATTAATCAATTTTTGGCTTTTCCACTGATATCTCAAGTACTGATCATCACATTTCAATAAAACTTGGTACATAGATGTCATAGGACACTGCACAAACCTCATAGTTTTTAGGGTAATATCAGTAGATAGTAATTACCTAATTAGCATAATTAATTAATTTTCAGCTTTTGATATTTCAAGTAGTAATTGTCACATTTCAATGAAACTTGGTACATAGATTCTACAGGACACTGCACAAACCTGATAGTTTTTAGGGTAATATGAGTACATATTAATTATCTAATTTGCATAATTAATTAATTTTCAGCTTTTGATATTTCAAGTAGTAATCATCATATTTCAATAAAATTTGGTACATAGATGTCATAGGACACTGCACAGACCTGATAGTTTTTAGGGTAGTATCAGTATATATATTAATTAGCTAATTTGCATAATTAATTAATTTTCAGCTTTTGATATTTCAAGTAGTAATCATCACATTTCAATGACACTCGGTACATAGATGTCATAGGACACTGCACAGACCTGATAGTTTTTAGGGTAATATGAGTACATATTAATTACCTAATTTGCATAATTAATTAATTTTCCGGGTTTGATATTTCAAGTAGTAATCATCACATTTCAATGAAATTTGGTACATAGATGTCATAGGACACTGCACAGACCTGATAGTTTTTAGGGTAATATGAGTACATATTAATTACCTAATTTGCATAATTAATTAATTTCAGCTTTTGATATATCAAGTAGTAATTATCATATTTCAATGAGACTTGCTACATAGATCTAAAATTATGCAGAGACCTGATTAGTTTTAATTGAATATTAATTACCTAATTTGCATAATGTTCCACTGATATATAAACAACCACAAATTGGATTTTAATGAAACTTTTAAAGAGAACTATGCAGAAACCCAATTAGTTTTTGGTAAATATTTATGCTTATTAATCACCTAATTAATATAATTAATTAACACTGATATCTCAATTACTGATCATCACATTTGAATAAAATTTGGTACATAAATGCTTTAGGACAATAGACAGGCCTGATTACCGGTAATTTTGGGTTAAAATATGTTCATATTAATTCTCTAATTAGCATAATTCATAATTTTTTTGTTCTGTTCTGTTCATATTAGTTACCTGATTTACATAATTAGTTTTCAGCTTTTCCATCAATATCTCATGCACAAGTAATTTTGAATTAATTTTTAATGTGTCTTCAATACTCAAATGACCTGCATCACTACATCTGGTTACTAGTATATAAGCAGTAGTCGTCACGCCGCGCATGTTCGACATTTGTATTGATAAATATTGATTTTTCCCACAATCCAATGCGCTCTTTTACTGGGTAGAACGCGTGCCTATGATATTACTCAGTCCATTACCATTACCATTCACCAAAGATTCCCTAGTTAAAGCTTGGTAACATCTTAGTTTATACTTGTCGGTCTGCACAACAGTCACAATCGCCATCTTACTTCATATAAGAACCATATTTCGCGCATGCAGAGCACGACCACTGCCCAATTTATTTGAAAATGTACGACGAGGTGTGAGATACATCTAATGACTAAAGTATATTTAAGGGACAAGGTTTTTTCAAAGAGCGTATTTCCTTGGCAAAAATGAGAATATGCTTTCTATCAGTGGTCCATGCGTCAATCAGCATAAAAGACTTGATACACATGTATTTCATTCACCGGTTTAATTACAATATTCAAATTACTCTATTTAAACACTTTCTTGTGTACATTTTTCAGTCCCACTTTTTATAATTTGCCCTCTGAATTAAGAATGTCGTACTAAATCGTTCATGAAAAACATTCAATGAAAGTTGTGTATATTATTATGTTAGGTTAAATTAATGGTCACTATTTTATATGATGATATAGATTTGTTCACACATTTGTTTGTCCAGCAATATTCCATACTTACTGGCAAATTTGCCAGAGTATGTAGCACATATGCTACTGATTTATTTTAATTAATGTAGAATTCTAGATTGTATGGTGTACTTGCATGTCTTGAATGATTTGTGTTGCTTTTCTGCAGATATCTGATGTTGATAAATTACAGAAAGTTGCCAAAGAACATAATGTCCTGATTGTGGAAGGCTTTGTACACATTCATCATCCACAGTTCAAAGCAATTAAAGAGAAGATTACATCAGGTAAATGAGAAAATAATTTCAATAAAATGCAGTCTTTTTTGTTTTTCGCAATTTCGTTCATTTTTTAACAAAAAAGTAATATGATGCTGACACAGCTTCGTAATGAATGAATAATGTACACAGTTATGTCGTCTCGGAAGAATGGTTGTGAAGTTGACCAAGACTTTTCCGATATTGATCATCTTGATTACACGTTTTAAAATGCAACACTGCAGTTTATTTTCTCTACAACTGCGATAATGCATCTAAAATATCTTCTCTGTACACTGTTGTCTGTGAAAATGTCATTAACACATACATTATACTGTCATTTATGTAAGTATTACTATGCACAACACACATACACAGTCAATTGTCTCTCAATAAATTATGCGAATTTAAATGATTCAATTTTTTTTGACACATACAAATGTAGGCTGCATTGGTGCTCTGCAGTATATGACGGGGTCATTTTGTTTCAAAGTTGATCAAGAAGACAATATAATGTACAGTCGTGAACATGACGGTGGTTCACTGTGGAATCTTGGCTGCTACCCTATAAGTTTGATGATAGCACTATTGGGTGAAAGTCCACAGACTGTCACAGCCATGAAATGTGAAACAAAAAGGTTAGATGTGTCACTTATAAATTTCATTTGCAGAATCCAACCAGCCAATCAACATGGGAAGTGCACATGTCATTTGAAAATGTTCCAATATTCTTCAATCGACCAACAGAAACCTCTTATTTCAGTTGGAATTGTGAATTTATAAATATTAATAATGATAAAGATGCACTGAGAGTATTTGGATAATTGTTAATGATTTGCTAGCATGCATACAATGCAGATGTGCCTAATGTTTGACAGTGAATGAATGAATGAGTGAATGAGCGAATGAATGAATGAATGAATGTAACATTTTACTATTTTTATTTTCAGTGGTGTTGATGGTACTTGCCATTGCATATTGCAATTTAGCAATAGCAGACATGGCTGCATATCGGCAAGCTGTATTGCATCCAGTGGCACCAATTTTGAAATCATCGGATCAAAAGGCAAAATATCTCTCAACAAAATCAGGGCATTTCACCCAGACTGTGGTGATAATGCAAATTATTTTGATGTTTCAGTCTCAGGAGAACCAGAAGAAAGAGTCACCGTTCCAAACGTTGATGCATTCCTATCAGAAATCACTGCATTTGAGGCATCAGTTTTAGATGGTATCTCACCAGTAGTGTCTTTGGAGCTAAGTAAATTGATTGTAACTACAATTATAGCTTTACATAAATCAGCTTGCCAAGGTGGCATGCCAGTTTCTCTATAAGAAAAAAGATGGAAATATCACAAGCAGATCAACATTTACTAAAACAATATCAATACGATTCTAATAGAACACCATAACATTACATGTTATATAAAACGACAGGAATATGATATAATTATACATCAGCTGTTCTGGGGTAGCCTGAAACGATTTGCTGTTAATGTCAATGTACATGTGATAACATGAATTAAAATAATGCAGTTAACTAGTGGTATGTCCACATTTAAGCAGTCTGTGTATTTTGATCACTTTATTTTTACAGCATATAGATCACATTTTGCATTCATAATTGATTGAACAATGTACATATTTTGATAAACTTGTTTGTATTAATACTGTATGATTATAGTGTAACTTGTGATAAATTCAAATTGTTCTAATTTGTCACAAGATATATCATTGATGACATATGCATATTACCCCGGTATTGACTTTTACTAAACAAGTCATTGTCAATGACACGTCCCCGCTCCGTTCATATTTGAGTGACATATACATTCAAAGCAGATCATGACCGAAATGCACCTGCATATGTACAACACATTGTACTAAATCTGAACAAAATCCATCCATGCATGACTGAGATCCGGTTCCGGAATTGTGAAAATACGTGATTTTGATGCATTTTTGGCCTTAAAATGGCCATCATTCAGCTATTGTTAAGCGGATCATGAAACAAATGCACATATCATTTGTGACATGATGTACCATGTGTGTGTGAAGTTTGAACTTGATCAATCCAGACATGTCTTGAATACGAATCCAGAACTGAATTCTTTAACAAAATGGCCGCCAGTCGGCCATTTCGAACTTGATCCGAAAAAAAAAAGACGTGCATCAAGGTCCTATTATGTTTAATGTATGTACCAAATTTGAACAAAATCCGTCCATGCATAACTGAGATCCGGGTCCGAAATGGTGAAAATGTGCGATTTTGATGCATTTTCGGCCTTAAAGCGACCGCCATTTGGCTATCGTTAATGA